TGGTCCTTGTGGTTTGCCAAAACCTTTGGATGATAGTTTCCAGCTTGCACCAAAGGTCCAAAATCAAGGTTTTCATGGGTTTTTAGTCCATTCCGTCATTGACCATTTGTTTGGAGCCGTTAGTGCCTTCACGTGCCCTCCATGTGAGGGCATTTTGGTCATTTTAGGTACTTATTTTAATAATATCATATTCTCCTTTATATACATACTCATACGCAATCCTCTCTTCTTCTTCATTTTTATTTACAGAGATAGCAGCAAAAAGGGCTTCTTCTTCGTCTCTCAAAGGAATTCTTCTTCTTCGTCTCTTGTCTACTTCTAACTGCTACGAGATTCAAAAATGGTGCTCTGCTTCTGTGGGAACGTTGTTGTTGTGCGAACCTCATGGACTTCACGAAACCCTGGTCGTCGTTTCTATGCATGCCCTAAATGGTAAGCAAACTCATATTAGGTTATGATATTCGGTAGTTATGCAATAACTCTTCTACTTTAATGTATTCTTGTGGATCTAGATGTGGATTTTTGGGGTGTTTCGATCCCCCTATGTGTCAAAGAGGCTGTTATCACATACCAGGTTCTGAGAACAATGAATAGGTATGAGGTTGAAGTGGGCCAGCTGAAGATGTGTTTGCTTGTCTCGTGGGTTTTGTTTCTGTTGTTTGTGCTGTTTTGGAAATAGGAATTAGAGGTTAGGACTTTTTTGTTGGTAGTAACCACTTAAAAATGTTGTCTTTTGGTGCTAGAAGGTTTAATTGTGGTTTATATATGTTTTGTTGGTAGTAACCACTTAAAAGTGTTAATCTTTTGGATCATTGTATATGTAATGCTTTTATGACAATGGAAGTGTAATGGTTTTATCCTTTTATGAATATGAAATTATAAAGGTTTGATCTTGACATGATATGCAAGTGTAATGGTTTTTCTCTACGTTTGAATATGCAATTGTAATGGTTTATATGCATACATTAAGTACATTGCCATAACATCTTCATGCTTTGACAGTACAACATAAACAAATAACAAACAACATTACCAAAAGGGGACATAACAGATAAATGCCAAAAACACAATCATTACCAACAAAGGGCATTAAAGTACATTATCAAGGGCATCAAAGTACATTATCAAAATGGAACAAAAAAGGCAACAAAGTACCAACTAAAGTGCATTAACAAGTCTTGACAAACATAAAAAGTACTTAACATTCATTTCCCATCTTTGCCTTGCAGGTCCTGGCATTGTGACCCTTTTGCTTACACTTACTACATGTCACAGTCAAAAACTTCCTGCTCAGTGATTGAGTTTCATTATCATGTTTGACTTTGACTGTTTGCTTGCCTCTTACGTTGCTGGATTTCAATCCTTTCCTCTGCTGTATCCTTCTTTTCTTTTTTGGCCTGCCTATAGCTTTGTTGTGTGGTGGAGGCACAAGAGTTGTTGGGCAGTCACTCTTAGGCCACATGGCTCTACCTTTGATAGGCTCCACCTTGAAGGAGTACATCTCTTTCCATGTATCAAGCCAATACACCTTATGCACATAGGTGTATAGTTCTCCTACCTTTTCATTGTTGTCTGCCATTTCATTTAGGCTTGCAATAGCATGTTTGCAAGGAATTCCAGTAAGCTCCCACTTTCTACAACTACACTCCCTTTTCTCCATGTCCACCACATGTTGATCATTCCATGGACCTTTAACCTGATACTTTTGTCCCCCATTCCATCGTGCATGATACTTACTAGCTAGTGTTGTGTTTGCTTCCAAAATCCTAGTACCAGTTGGAGTTAATGGACCTTGACACTTGTTTAACACCTTCATCACATTGCATACTCTCTTCATAAGGTACTCTCTGATGAACTCCAAACAACTGATAATGGTTTATCTCTCCCTTTACAAGTTTGCTATTGAACACTTCACAAAGGTTATTCAATACATGTCTGAAATTGCCCTTCCTAATAGTTTTATTAACAAAACAACAGTTAGTGTATATCTATACTAAATAGAAATAAGACAACAAATTGAGAAAATACCTGAAAAATGACTTCATACCAATGATGTGGAGGGATTTTCAAGAGCCATTGATATGCTTCTATGTCATAATTCCTTAGCTCTACCATTACAACAGCTTCAAACTCTGGTATGGTGGTGGCTGTAGCACACCTCCAAAAATACTCCTTGTACTCTGTAGTCTTAAATAACTTCCTCATGTTCTGGTATATGTGTCTAATACAGAACCTGTGTTCTGCATTAGGGAACAATTGTTCTATGGCGGTAGAAGACCCTGTTGTCACCAAAACAAATAAGAATTAGCATTAGTTGTAATGAAACTAGTATGCAATATTAAATGTAACTATAGTACCTTCTGTCTATCACTGATAAAGGTGAAGTTGGATTTGAATACAAGTCAAGATCTTCTGCAAGACACTGAAGAAACCATTTCCAACTTGAAGTGTTTTCACTTTCAGCAACAGCATATGCCAATGGGTAGGTTCATTGTTGGAATCAACACCAACTGCACTTAGTATTTGACCTGGGAAAGGTCCCTTCATGAAGGCTCCATCTAAGCCTAAAAATTCTCTCAAACCTGCCTTAAACCTTTCTTCAAAGGACCTAAACACACGTATATCCTTCTGAATTGCCTGGTTGGGGATGAAACCACAGGTTCTGAAACCACATCAATCTTTACAGTTGTACTTCATTTGTCTTTTTGTAGCTCTAGTACATAGTCTCTCAAAGCTGCATATTGCTTTACGTAATCCCCTGCAACATTTTTGGTGAATGCTTTTGCCTAAATGCTTTCTCTTCTGAAATACTAACTCCATAAGTTGATTGGAGTTGCTCTTGTAGGGCACGAACAGGCAGTCCAGGATTAGCTTCAATCTGATCCATAACACGTTTGGAAAGAAATGTTGTTGTGCAAGATCTGATTTTTCGTGTTTGGAGGCAGATGTGTTTCTGATTATAGGTCTTAATAACCAATAGTCCTGTTCACTTGACCTAGATGCATGAAGTTTCCATGTGCATTTAACTTTATCTGAGTTTACATCTTTACCCTTTACCTTTTTCCCAGAGGTAGGTCCACCACCCATTGCATTTAAAACTACAGTTCCATCACAAACAGCTGTTAATCTACTCTTGTGTTTTTTGTGAATGAGATATTCCTCCTTGTCTCTAAAGCATGCAGGTCAATTTTATCTTTCAATTCTTTCTTGGCTTTATATTTCTGCCCAATATGAAAAGCTACCTTGTGCACCTCACCAGCAGAACATAAGGTTTGTTTCCCCAGCTCTTTGATCATTTCTCTTCTTTTCCTTTGTCCCATGAGTCATCACTGATCATCACTTAGTGAATCCCACTCGTCATTATCAATTACCTCCAAATCATCTTCTTCATCACTATCTTCATTTCTTTGACCACCCAAACTTTGACATCCATTGAACTCTGCTTCTGTATCAATATTTAGATTGAAATCCTCCATGTCAACGTCAACATCTTCAATTATGTTGTCCTCATCAATCATAAAGTCACTATCTTCATCTTCACAATGTTTTGATTCTCAAACTCAATTCATCAGGCTCCTCTTGTCTCCACTCATCATTGAAAGGAATATTATCTTGGCCTTCAAACCCATTAAATGGGATGCTATCTTGTCTTCAAACCCTTCAAAAGGTTGAAAGTTTGTCATTAACTCATCATCTATGTTGATGTTAGTTGAAAATTCATTGACTCCTTGAGGATCATTATCCATGACAACTCTATACCCTCATCTGCAAATCCTTCTACACCCTCACCATTGGATTTGTTCATGTCAAGTTCTTCATTCACATCAATCTCTTTGTTTAACTCTTTTTCTGCATCAACTACAACAAATTCATCGCAAATCCTTCTACACCCTTACCTTTATCAACTTCACCACTTGCCATTGTTTTTTCACCACCTTCCCAATCCAAGTTAGATTTCTACTACAAGACGATGCCCCTTTACTATGTTTCCAACCTTTAGACCTACTAAATTCAGGTGTTGCTGATTTGTATAAGGTTAATGCTAACCCTAAATCACCCTCACCAACATCAATTTGGATTGGAGTTACCACTTCATGAGCAACTACAGGTGATGATGGGTCTAAAGGAACCTGCTTATCCATGTCTTCTATTATAACCCTTCTTGACCAGTTGGGGACATAAAATATGTAAGCAAGTTCGTTTGACCATGCTCTGTGTACACTTTAATCATTTTGTTATTATGGGTAACATACGTGAGAGATTACGCACATCATCATCGTTACCTAATGCTCGGAGTCCAAAGTCAAATCCTTCATTAGGCAAACGGAAATGGCAATACATAATTTCAGTACCATCATACCCTAATTCTCTCATCATCAAGTCTAGTTCATGAACAAAAAATTCATCAATGTCGACAACATCAAAGTACCTTACTTGGCCATTATATACCTGATATTTGGAAACTTTGTGAAACTCCCTCCGTGATGAAGTTCAATAGAGAATATGTTTGGGGTAACCATCTTCAAAACAGAAAGAGACGATTGTTTAGAGTTTTTCAAAGTTTGAAGCTTGATCATAAAATACAGAGTTTTTTCAAAGTTTGAATCTTACCATAAACTTCTTGAACGTTGACAATCTCTCCAACATTTCTAAGTCCCCACATTTTCAAAAGCATGAACACAAGCCAATTTGCAGACGATCGTTAGGGTTTTTGCGTTTGAATCCAAAGAGGTATGAGTAGAAGACGAAGGAGTGAGTACAGTCTGCAATCTTATTAATTGAAGTGGCGGCAACGGAGGCTAGGACCTAAAATGACCAAAATGCCCTCACATGGAGGGCACGTGATGGCACTAACGGCTCCAAACAAACGGACAATGACGGAATGGACTAAAAAACCCATGAAAACCTTGATTTTGGACCTTTGGTGCAAGCTAGAAACTTTTTGGACCCCATCC